AGCACTGCATCAGTGTCTCAGCAATGGATGCTCTGCAGTGAATGGGTGCCGTCAGAATGAGAGCTGATAAAAACATCACAATAATCCACAGCACTCCAGTCCATCAGTTAACATCTGGAGAAGACAAAAGCTGGAACTAATCCAGCATTAAGACGTTTATAACTAAAATACCATAGAATCCATAATAACGCTTCCTCCAGTGAGTCAGTGTTCTGGTGTGAATCAGGAGAGAAATCTGCACAGATCAAGCAGCGTTTAAACAGCTCTAAACACATATGTGGCTGGATTCTGATGTGAGAGACAACAGCAGATGCACTTTTTCACTGGAGGAAGCGTTTTTATTTATTATGGACTCGTATTTGAGTTAGAAACGTCTTAATGCTGGATGTGTTTCAGCTTTTGTCTTCTCGTCTGCACATGATTGTGTGGGAACAGCAGGGACAGAAACACAAAACTCACTCTTAAAGACACTCTCTATTATAAAAAGTTATAGAAGTTTACATTTATGCTCGACAACCACTTTGTAGCAACCACAACTGTTTCTGAGGAGCTACATTGTTTGGTGGAAGAATACTGTGTTTATTAATATCATTACACTTTATTTGCTCTGCTTTATTTTGTGAAGCCTTACTACGAATATGGAATAACCGTTTTATAAAAGCAGTAACCCCTGTGAAGCCATGGTTTACAGTGAATTTATAACAGCTTGTGCCTAACAACACCCCTCAGCTGTTATAAATTCACTGTAAACCACGGCTTCACGGGGGTTACTGCTTTTATAAATCACTCCCTCCAGCTACGCTACGATGGGAAAGAGTCCAGAGCAGTTTTATGATGAATAATAAATAGGGAACAACTCTTTCTGAATTGTGATTAATAATGAATGTAAGAGAGCAGCTAACCGGCCGGATGATTTATCCGCCACCACATTTCATCATGCGCTACTGAGAGTGCAGAAATCCAGCCGAATGTCACTGCGTTTCAACCATAAAATCATGCAGATAGCAGCGAGCCTCGCATCCATACGCCATCTTCATAAGACAGAATGAGAATCTATTAATGGAGATAAAACATCCAGAGAACGTCATGTGAATTAATGAAGCGCTGCGGAATTTCATCTGAGAAAATACGACAGGAGAAGAATGTAAAAATGCTTAATTAACTGTACTTTACCTTCCTGAAGAATATTTACCACAGATAATGCATCTTTACTGTAAAATATAAAAAAAAATACAATATGAATGACCTTATCAGTGAACATTTAAGACATCCAACAAACTTATTTACAAAGACAACACTTTAAATTTTACTGTGAAATATTGAAAAAATACAATAAAAATGAGTATGAATTACCTTATCAATGATGCTTTATATTAATTAAAGTGTTTGTAAGCATTTTATGTCAAAAGTAGGACTCACCTTTAGGTTGAAAATGGTATTCACAGAAGTCTCTGCATGAACTACTGGTTTACATTTAATTTAGATATACTGTATGTGACCCTGCAGCACAAAAGCAATCATAAGCAGCACATTGTATGGGTCAAAACTGTACATTTCTCTTTTATGCCAAAAATCATTAGGATATTAAGTAAAGATCATGTTCCATGAAGACATTTTGTAAATGTCCTACCGTAAATATATCAAAACTTAATGTTTGATTAGTAATATGCATTGCTAAGAACTTCATTTGAACAACTTTAAAGATGATTTTCTCAATATTTAGATTTTTTTGCACCCTCAGATTCCAGATTTTCAAATATTGTCCGATCCTAACAAACCATACATCAATGGAAAGCTTATTTATTCAAATATATTGACACTTAAGACTGGTTTCGTGGTCCAGGGCCACATTTAGTTATTTAAATTATATTAAATTTACAAAGACAATACTTCAAATTTTACTGCGAAATACTCAAAAATGTATCGCACATCAGATTTGTCTTAGAAATTACAAAAGATCATTTAAAGCCATTATTGTGTTACACGAGAAAACCATGAAATAAGTATTGTAAAAATGTTAAAATTTTCTTGTTTAATTTTGTTCTTTCTTTTCTTTTTCTTTCCTTTTTTTGTTTAAAATTTTTGGGTGAACTATCCCTTTAATTAGTGTATTATTAATATGGATTTAGACGCGTATAAAGACGCGCACGTTCTGAAATAAACGTGCACTAGTGAAATAAAAATAAACACACTCAATGCACACGTCATAATCCCATAGTAGGCTAAAAATCCTTTACATACGTAAATTAAACAATATTATCGAGTAATAATCTTACAAATCAAAAACAGCCCAGCAAATAAAATTAATTAAATATCACTCACCACTAAAAGGGCTTTTTCCTGCTCTTCTTCAAAGAGAATTCCTCAATTAAATCCATCATACAAAAAATGTAATGTAGCCTACGTTATACACAAACCTGAGTAAATTTGACCACTTTGGAATTGTGAATACACAAAGATGTACTAATTTAGGAGGTGGATACTGTGAAATTACATACATGCATTATGGCATAAGATTTGAAAGCACAACTGAACGTCTATACGTTAGTCAACAGACTTTTTCTTAACAATTTGAACTAAAATTTTATTGCAACCATGTAGCCTATGAATGCATGAAAATGAGCATTTTTTCAATGAACGAGAACGTATAGAGTGTGGGCTGCTTTTGGCTTTTTCAGTCATGAGGTCCAAGTTCAATACGCTAGAAGTTACAATTTCAAAAATGTATCATTTTGTTTCTCTATTTAACAACATTCACTTACAATAGTGAAAGACGTCTCTTTCCTCAGGTAGATTGTATGTTTTCTAGCTGGATGTTGTGCTTACGATCAATAATTACATTCAATTCAATTCATATTGCTTTATTGGCATACTTACGTACGTATTTTTTAAATTAAAAAATTGTATTGTTTTAAATGAAAAGTAATAGCCTATGATGAACAAGACACCCTAAGTGCTTGCTATTTAATTCCAGCCGAAAGACATATTAATCATCCATTTTTACTTTAATACAAACATGTAGGCCTATTTTAAATAGTTTTTAACAAACAATGTGACTTTGGAAACTAAACAGTTAAATATGAAGAGGTCAAGTGAATCCAAATATCACAAAAAGCTTACGGATGTAATTATAAGTCAGTCATTCAAGTGAGCTGCTGTTTCTGTCACTCTTCTGAGGAAGCAATTTTGGTCAGATTTTCATCTAATCTCTCTTTTTTTTTTTAAGGGATTTGTATTTGTGAGTACTTTCCTTCTTTCTTTTTTCTTTCTTTTATTTTTTTAACTCTACTGCCTTAATGGTTTGCACCATTTAACAGGCTAACAGGGCCATCGCTAGGAATTCTGGGCCCTTTGCACTGAATTTGCTGCGGGGCCCCCTGTGTTTGTGAGTCAAATGATTCACGAACCCGCTTAGAATTTCAGAAAAGCTGCGTTTCACCATCACTACATGCTTTTTAAAACTATTGCATGTGATGTCGAAATTGGAAAATGAATGGCTCTTGTGATCTGGCTTTTGCTAGTGAATCGCCTGAACTGAGTGATCGGAGTCACGAGTTTGAATCAATCGGAGCGGTTCCAGCGTAAATGACTCACTCAATTGAATCAGTTCGTCTGTTCCTCTGCTTTTCAGTCATGTTTGCACGACACTGTCAGCACAACTCGCTAGTTTTATGACATTAACTGGAATAAGTGGAAAAAGCATTGATGTTTACAAATAAAATATCCATATTTCCATTCCAAAGATAACATCCAACACAAATCTACGAACATATTCAGGTGAGGTAAGGCAAAACTAAGCTTCTCCTCGTTATCAGTCCACCTCGGCCGAACCGGCACATCAAACACCTCTCCAATAAAATCCTTTCAAAGTCATATAGTGGAGCTGGTGCTGTTAATATTTGATCAAAGGCCAGTAAGTGATTTGCCGGAGGAGTCGGACCGCGGAAATCCTTCGCCAGGCTGCGTCTGCTTGGAGTGTTGTAGATGCTGGCGTCTGATCCAAGAGACACCGGAGCAGACTTACCGCTTTCGTTCGAATCAAAAGACACCAGACTGGATTTTTTTCTTTCGTCTAAACTGAGAGACACCGGAGTGGATTTATCTCTTTTGTTCGAACCAAAAGACACCAGAGCGGATTTATCTCTTTCGTCCAAACTAAGAGACACCGAAGCAGATTTATCCCTTTCGTCCAAATTGAGGGACAACGGAGCAGATTTATCTCTTTCGTCCAAACTGAGAGACACCGGAGCAGATTTATCTCTTTCGTCCAAACTGAGAGACACCGGAGCGGATTTATCTCTTTCGTTCGAACCAAAAGACACCGGAGCAGATTTATCTCTTTCGTTCGAACCAAAAGACACCGGAGCGGATTTATCTCTTTCGTCCAAACTGAGAGACACCGGAGTGGATTTATCTCTTTTGTTCGAACCAAAAGACGCTGAAGCAGATTTATCTCTTTCGTCTGAATTGAGAGACACCGGAGCGGATTCGTCTCTGTCGTCTGGCTCGCTGCGCTCCTGGATGGAGCTCATGAACGGTTTGGGGAAGCTGTCATTGCGAACAGGCGACGGCTCACGGTTGATATGCATGAACACCAGGCTACAGCTGCACGCCGGAAGTAATTGCACATCAACGGAGACACGATCCATGGGTAAAAATGCCATCTGGATGCCCGCCGGACGCAGCAGGCTATCGTAGGACAGGCTTCCCATCCGGCCGCTGAGGACACTCTGGGGGATTTCTGCACACTGTGATCCACGGCGGCTGGAGTGTTTGAGACTCAGCAAGCGTGAGTTTAGAGCCAGAGCAATTGCGTGATTTGATTCTCGGACGGCAGCAGGATGGGTTCAGACGCGTGTTCCTGGGGAACCTGCAGGGAAATCCTCGACCCCATCTACAGCGACAGACAGAGGAACATCTAGAAGAACGTGCAGCCAGTTTCCAGGAAAACATCCAAAGCAAGGAATCTTTATGGCCCCTTCACACCAAGAAAAATAACTATAAAGATAACTATAACACTGCAAAAAATGATACACAGTACTTATATTATGTCATATATTATGTCAACAAAAACTTTTTGGATGCGATTAATCACGATTAATTGTTGCCCATCACGACACCGTTTTCTAGTATAAATATCTAAACATTCTTGAATCAAGATGCATTTACTTGACAAGTAAAATGATTTAAGATATTAAGTCTTGTTTTCTAAAAAACATTATCAAAATTTTGTTAGCTTTTGCTTAAAACAAGCAAAAATATCTGCCAATGGGGTAAGAAAAATAATCTTAATTCAAAGACTAAACAAGATTATTATTTTTTAAGTATTTTTACTATACTGTCTTTATATATATAGATAATAAATATACACAGTACACACACATATATTATATAAACAAACTTTTATTTTGGATGCGATTGCTATAAAGAAATTACTATAAATTACAGCACAACTATAAAGATAACTATATTAGCATCCACACCAGCGGCCAATATCGTCTGTTTATTCTAAGCGCACGCTTGCCTACCGCTTTAAATTCTCGAGCTCTTTATAGCAGGATGGATTCTGATTGGGTATCAATGCTTGTACTGTTAATCAGCTGGAAAAAAACATTCTGAAAGTGATTCAAACTATATCGTTTCTCTGTGCCTTTATCGTTTTAGCTGTAGTGTTGGCTCTGCTATTCTTTAATATTGAGAACGATTTTTAGAACTATATCTTTATCGGTATCTTTATAGTTATCGTCCTTTGTGTGAACGGGCCTTAAGGCTGAATACGCTACACAACTTTTAAGACACTAGGCATCATACACTTACCGACTTTGTAAATAGTGACAAAGGAAAACTGGACATCATACACTACACAAGTGAGGATCATACACTAGCAGACTTTGAAGTTGTTTCGATCACAAGAACTCAGGCAGAAACTTGCGCCTTGCTGCCAGGAGACGATTGACAAATGAGAATAATATGTACTATAAAATCGGCTGAAAATATCAAACATGTTTGATATCCTCCGACTGGTTAGAATCAGAGTCTGAAGCTAAAGAAATCGGCGTCTGTGACCATCATACACTACGTGATTTCCTATGGAATCTGTCAACTCAAATCTGCAGACTGACTTTGACTTTTGGCAACTAGCGACAACTTCTCCAGACTGTAAATCGGTGGAAATCGGGGCAAAAATCGGGTAGTGTATTACAGGTTTTAGAAGTCAAATTTATTTGTATAAAGCTTTTCACAATCCTTTTTCAAAGCAGCTTTACAGAAAGTCATACTGTTATGTCTTAGAGCTTTACCATACAGCCACATGATGGATTCCTCTGGACTTACACCTAGATTTATAGTATTTACAGTGTTGTCTAGGACATATATCAGTTGAACAGTGACTCAAACACACATCTGAGCATTCAGAGGCAATTTAGAGATTTCGATTTTGATCGGTTTCATTCGGTTAAGAGATTCAAACGTTGGTTGGTTTGGATCGGTTAAGAGATATAAATGTTACATTTTGTTCAATGAAGAGATTTAAACATCAGTCAGTTTTGTTCCATTAAAGAATTAAATGTGGGTCTGTTTCGTTCCATTACGAGATTTAAATATCGGTCGGTTTCGTTCTGTGGCGAAATTTTTATGTTGGTCGGTTTTGTTCCATTACGAGAATTAAATGTCGGTCGGTTTTTGTTCTATTACGAGATTTAAATGTCAGTCGGTTTTGTTCTATTACGAGATTTAAATGTCGGTCGGTTTCGTTCCATTACGAGATTTAAATGTCGGTCGGTTTCGTTCTATTACGAGATTTAAATATCAGTCGGTTTCGTTCTATTACGAGATTTAAATGTCGGTCGGTTTCGTTCTATTACGAGATTTAAATGTGTATATATTTCGTGTATATATATATATATAAAACTAATTTAAAATATAACAAAACATTATATTGATTATAAAATATATATTTTAGAAAAATATCTCAATGGTACTAAAATAATGTACCAAAATAACTATTACTAAAACAAAAAAGGATAAAAACTATATACATTTATATTTAAAAACTCGACAATAAAAATGACAAAAACTTTCACTAAAATTAAAATATAAACAGAAAATATAAAAATAAAATGCAAAATATTGAAACAATCTATAATATTATCTCAGTTATACTAAAATAACACTGGTACAAACTACTCATGATTGAAATGTAAATTGAAAACTAAATGAAGCTATTTAAGCTGTCAATATCTCTTTAAATATAGCGATTCTAATTATTAAATTTTTTTTTTAATCAGAGCAGTATTTATTTGTCACCAAAACCTGATGTACATAAAACTCATTTAACTAAATAGTTTGCTATAAAAAAAGAGAACAAAATGAAGCATACAGACTCCAAATGACACGATAAAATGAATCAGAATCGCTTCAGAAAGAACCTGTTTAAAAATAGTTACTGGATCGCTGCTGGAAAATTAAGACATATATTACATTATGCTGATATATCTTTAGGCTTCAGTGTGTTAGTAAATTGACAGTTTCTTTATCCATATAACTGAGTGGTTTTATAAAGCACAGCTGAAGAGTAATGCTGCTGAACGCAGGTCAGGTTTGATGTTTAATCTTATTCATTTATTCACAGCCTTGATGCACCACAAATTAAGTATTTATGGGCATAAGTACCTTGCCCGGGAGTTTTTGAGGGCTCAGTTTGTGGGACTCTGGGTGATGGAAAGGAGGCTGAATGCGAAGCGGCAATCTGTCACTGAGTTTCTCAGTGTACCTGATACTTAAAGAGCAAAATTAACATCAAAAATTAACATTCTGTCATCATTTACTCACCCTGCATGCTTGTTTGTTTGTTTATTTATTTATATAGCACAGTTTAATGCAACACCAGGTTGCCCAAAGTGCTTCACAATATCACAATAAAATTACATAACAACAAGCATAGTCTCAAATAATAAAACAAATCACATAACAACATGGACACAGTTTAAAATAATTAAACCTGCATCACAACAATCCCTCATTGGTGGTTTTGTCTTCGCTAATAGATGTAAATGAAAAAAACAAGATCTCACCACTGTGTTTATTTGCCTGTCCATCTTTAATTCACTATCCAGAACGAAGCCCAAGTCTTTCACATGGGTTTTCATAAAGCCAGCCAGGTGTGTTGACTTTAAACGCTGAGTCACTTCTTGATTCTTAGGGCCAAAAACAATAACCTCAGTTTTTTTTTCATTAAGCAACAAAAAATTAGCAGCCATCCAGGCCTTTACCTCCTGTAAACAAGCTACTAACACCTTTATGGAATCTGGGTTTGACTCTCTCACGGGTAGGTAAATCTGAGTATCATCTGCATAGCAGTGAAATGATACTTTGTGTTTTCGAAATATAGCCCCCAAAGGTAGCATATAGAGGGAAAACAGCAACGGTGCCAAGATTGACCCTTGTGGAATTCCCCAAGGCATGCTGTTAGTTTATCAGGAAGAACTAGGTTTTGCCATCCTTTATGTTTGATTCACATGAAAATGCATGAAGAATATGATAAAAATGGTTAACTTTGGATAAAAGCGTCTCCTAAATGCATAAATTATGATAACTTTTGGGTATTTTCTGTCATATTTAAAGCTTTTTATGATATGATGGTCAAAGTCATGAAGAGATTACATATTGTACATATAAATATTTTTTTAAAACGATGTAAAAATTGTATTCAGTGTGCATTAAAATAACTTTAAATTAGTGCTGTCAAATGATTAATCGCGATTAATCGCATCCAAAATAAAATGTATGTGTGTGTACTGTGTATAGCCTATTTATTATGTATATATAAACACACACACACACAATATATATTTTAAAGATATTTACGTTTATACATTTATATATTCATATTCTTATATTTGAGATTATATATAAAATATATAAACATGTATATTTTTTAAATATATACATGCATGTGTTTGTATTTGAGTATAAAATGTATTTGAAACTAAATGCCAAATGAAGTTACAGTACATGCATATAACATGTATTTCTCTGACACCAAACTCTTGCGATTGCGGACAGGTATCTAATAAATATACACAGTACACATACATATAGCCTATTATGTAAACAAAAACTTTTATTTTGGATGCGATTAATCGCGATTCATTATTTGACAGCACTACTTTAATTTATTAAAATAGTTTTCAAGAAAATGCATGAATAACATGATTAAATGTAAAGCTTTGGATAAAAGCATCTTCCAAATGCATGAATTATTGTTGCATGGAACGTCTGAACTTTCGGGTGTCTTCTGTCATATTTAAAGCTCGAGATGTCATAACTATGAGCTATTGTTGCATGCAATTGTGAAATTTCTCTTCTTGTGTTCCACAGAAATAATAACAGCATACGGGTTTGCAACAACATCATGATTTTGACTGTGATGTAAGTGATTGTTTTACACGTGTAGAAGCGTGCTCACCTCGGTGTGATGGGACTGAAGAGCACAAACTGCACGTTCTGACAGCAGCCGCGTGAGAACGGATTCACTCCTCCCTGGAACTTCCCTCTCACCTGTGAGTGTGACGCAGTTTAGTAGAGGGAAAACAGCAACGGTGCCAAGATTGACCCTTGTGGAATTCCCCAAGGCATGCTGTTAGTTTATCAGGAAGAACTAGGTTTTGCCATCCTTTATGTTTGATTCACATGAAAATGCATGAAGAATATGATAAAAATGGTTAACTTTGGATAAAAGCGTCTCCTAAATGCATAAATTATGATAACTTTTGGGTATTTTCTGTCATATTTAAAGCTTTTTATGATATGATGGTCAAAGTCATGAAGAGATTACATATTGTAAATATAAATATTTTTTTAAAACGATGTAAAAATTGTATTCAGTGTGCATTAAAATAACTTTAAATTAGTGCTGTCAAATGATTAATCGCGATTAATCGCATCCAAAATAAAATGTATGTGTGTGTACTGTGTATAGCCTATTTATTATGTATATATAAACACACACACACACAATATATATTTTAAAGATATTTACGTTTATACATTTATATATTCATATTCTTATATTTGAGATTATATATAAAATATATAAACATGTATATTTTTTAAATATATACATGCATGTGTTTGTATTTGAGTATAAAATGTATTTGAAACTAAATGCCAAATGAAGTTACAGTACATGCATATAACATGTATTTCTCTGACACCAAACTCTTGCGATTGCGGACAGGTATCTAATAAATATACACAGTACACATACATATAGCCTATTATGTAAACAAAAACTTTTATTTTGGATGCGATTAATCGCGATTCATTATTTGACAGCACTACTTTAATTTATTAAAATAGTTTTCAAGAAAATGCATGAATAACATGATTAAATGTAAAGCTTTGGATAAAAGCATCTTCCAAATGCATGAATTATTGTTGCATGGAACGTCTGAACTTTCGGGTGTCTTCTGTCATATTTAAAGCTCGAGATGTCATAACTATGAGCTATTGTTGCATGCAATTGTAAAATTTCTCTTTTTGTGTTCCACAGAAATAATAACAGCATACGGGTTTGCAACAACATCATGATTTTGACTGTGATGTAAGTGATTGTTTTACACGTGTAGAAGCGTGCTCACCTCGGTGTGATGGGACTGAAGAGCACAAACTGCACGTTCTGACAGCAGCCGCGTGAGAACGGATTCCCTCCTCCCTGGAACTTCCCTCTCACCTGTGAGTGTGACGCAGTTTAGTGAGAATAAACTCAGCTTCCAGCAGAATCTAATGCAGTCAAACATGATCTTACCTGTTTGTTTGTGGTGCGTCCTCTCGCCACCAGCACCAGATGAAAACATGACAGACCCAAGACGGGAATGAAGAACAGAGCCGAAACGCTCATGACCGCCAGCCTTTAAAACACACTGTCACGGTACTCACCCACTGCTTTACACAAGCAAAAATCAACAAAAAAATCAACTAAATCAAACAAATCTGAGAAACAAATTAAACCTGAATGGTAATATATATTTAAAAAAATAAACAAAATGGCTAAAAATTCAACAAAAACTGAAAACAAACACTAAAGCTGAAATAAAAATAAATGAATCCTAAGTTTTAATCATTGAAAAAAAAAGACAAAAGCACATAACAAAAGTGCTAAAAATTTAACTAAAATTGGAAACCAAAACTAAAAATGAACTAAAACTAAAACTACAATAAAAATAAATTACTCCTAAATAGGAATACATAAAAAAAAAAAATTTAAATTACAAATGCACATAAAATTACTGAAAATTAAACTAAAACTAAAATGATACAAAATGAATTCTAAACTGTAATACATTCCAGGGGTCTCCAACATTTTTTGTGAGTGAGGGCTCCCTGTCTCAAGATCTCAATCGTCTCAAGGGCTACTTGTTTGATATATTCCAATACATATATATTAGTGCTGGGCGGTATGACCCGAAAATTATATCACGGTATTTTTCAAAAGTATACCGGTTTCACGGTACATGACGGTATTTTTTTTCATGCATGACCGGGTGTTAACCATATCTTCTTCTGATTGAGAGGAAATACAGCAGTATATTGACTTAGAATGCCCTATTTTACTGTCATGATGAGTGAATATTGTCAGAAAATACCACAGAAATCCTCCAGCTGAACCATAGCTAAGCTTTATCCAGAAAAGCCGCTAAAAGGGTCTGAAAGTTGCTAAATCTAGTGCTAAAGTGGCGCTGGAGTGTGTGAGACGCGGGAGCCGATGGCAGGGGACGGTGGATATTTGTGGCGGTCAATGTGGATATTGTCGATGAGTTCTTCTGTGTCATCATGTTCTATTAGTTCTACAGCTTCAGTTTCGGAAGAAATCCTCCAGCTGAACCATAGCTAAACTTTATCCAGAAAAGCTGCTAAAAGGGTCTGAAAGTTGCTAAATCTAGTGCTAAAGTCACGCTCGTGTGTGTGTGAGACGCGGGAGCTGAAGGCAGCGGGCGCTGGATATTTGTGGTGGTCAGTGTGGATATTGTGGATGAGTTCTTCTGTGTCATCACGTTCTATTAGTTCTACAGCTTCAGTTTCTGAACTTTCACGTTTAGTAACACATACAGCTGTTCCCTCACCACAGTGCAACAGTGAAAAGGGACCCCTTTCAAACAGTGTCGCGTTCCCAACCTTGTTTAAGCGACATACACCGGTATTGCGGTATTTTAAAAATGTATATCATAACAAAAATAAACACCAGTTCGGTATGAACCGGTATACCGCCCAGCACTAATATATATACGTATATTTATTTATTTTTCTCTAATATATTGATATCTTGCATTTTATGCAAAAATGCATTTTATTTTTCCCTAAATTCTGTTTTCTCCATTTGATTTCTTATGGATTCCGTGTTTTATGATTCAGTACAAATTTATCATAAAAAATGGCGTCTAGTGAAATTAATTAATAAACCTTAATCAATCTTTTAAAATGTAATCAAATGAAAATCAATTTACAACAAAACATTGCATTTTTATTTTTTATTTTATTTTATCAGACATGATGCTGCACAACAGAACTGTATAACTTATTAATAATAAAACAATAACTTGGTTGTATGTTATTCCTTAAAAATAATAATATTATTATTACTTTGAGAATTGCATTGTAGAATACAGTTGTAATATATTCAGTCATATAATTTCAAGTTAAACCTGACTTTTATTTTGACGGTTTGTCGTGAAGATCTTTCAGTTTTAGTTTTAGTTTCAGCTCTGAAGATGTGTTCATGTCTTCATATATTGAGACGCAGATGCTGAAAACACAGCGAGTCACGTGTGTTTGAGTTTGTGAATCAGATTAAACTGGTTGCTGTAACATTAATTTCAGTTGTGTGATAGGATGTTAGATTAATCCATATTGAGTAAAAACGTCCAGAGCTTATCATCATTATTAACATAAATTTGATCATAATCTCAATATGATATCATTTATCGCCCGGTGCTAATTTAGGCTATTTATTTTATATATATATATAGCAATATGTGAAAAAAAATTAACATGAAAGCGCATAACAAAATGACTACAAATTAAACTAAACCTGGAAACAAAAATTAAAACTACACTAAAAATGAAATAATGATAAATTAAACCAACAGTAATATATGAAACAAATGTGCACATAACGACACATAACAAAATTACTAACAATGGCTAAAAATAAAATCATAAATGACTAATAAAAATAAAATAACACTGGTTCAGATTCACTTCCTGAAGAGTGAAAGACTGGGGCACTTTCAGAGTATTGATGTGTTAATACCGACATGTCAGCTTCTGACTCAACCGATCACGAGAGTCCGGGGCACAACTATCTGTCTGTCTGACCAATGGCAGACGGGGCAGCAGGAGTGTTTGTGTGATCATTTTTGCTTTTCTATGCCACAATCACAGAGCTCAAGTCTCAAGTCTACTTTATTTCTACTTTCCACTACAAACAGCAGCACAATCATACAAGAATACTAAAACAAAAATCAACAATAACAGAAAAACAAAAATAACCTTGAAGAAAAATTAAACCAATTTACATCTTCCAAAAATCAGCATATCAACAGCCATAGAAAACAAATATGTTTTCAAGCGAGATTTAAAAACTTAAACATTAAAAAATTCTTTGTGCTAGTAAGGAGCCTCGCGGCTGCATTCTGGACCAATTGCAGTTTTGAAATAAGAGATTGACTTACTCCCAAATAAAGTGCATTGCAATAGTTCAAACGGGAGGAGAAAAATGCATGAATCACTATCTCAAGATCAGCAAAAGACTTCATTTTTGCAATAGTCCTCATCTGAAAGAAGCAACTTTGCACCACACACTTAATCTGATGATCAAACATTAGAGCGGAGTCAGATCAAGGACCCGGATTCCTTATTTGGGACCGCACAGAGCTGAAGGATACGTGACGGCAGCATGCGGTTCCCACAGGTTCTCCAGATGATCCAGAACATACAGCAGACCTCCGGAAAACACGGAAACCATGTGAAGAGTCAGAGACAGCAGGAAGAGGAAGAAGAAGCGATAGTTGTGTCTCCCGATGCAGTTGTTCACCCAGGGACAGTGATGGTCAAAGTCCTGAAGAGATTATATATGTGCTCTCAATCGATTAAAAAAATTAACTAACAATTAATTGCATTAAATATGCATTTAATGGCATCTTTGGTAGCCTATTATTAATGAAGACAAGTATAATTGATACCAATACTGCTACCGATGTCTCCATAAAATACATTTTTCAACATTACAGTATAATTGAAAGCCATTATTTTAAACATTTAATAGGCTTTGAAAAATAGTGAACTTAAAACATCACATTACAGACTAAACTGTATATGCATAAACTATAAATTCAATATGGATTCATCTTTATTCAAGCTACAAGAGTGAATCAGCGAGCAGAGTAGTGAGTGATTTCTTATTCTTTTTTTCTTTGACTTTAAAAGGAGCGCTGTATGTTCAAAAGCTGACACACATCCAATTTTCTCCCAACTCGGATTTTCTAATTATTGGTGCATTCAAGGCCTCCTGGGAAGTTTGTATTTGAGAGTTGACAAGTCGTAATTACGACGTCAGATGCATTTAAGTCTCTTTGTTTGGAGCAAGATGGTGTTTTAACTATTCAACATAAAATTCAACTATTTTTTTTACCTCTACATCTACAAAATGATGAATAAAGAATGTGCATGATTGTGTTTTTTGCTTTTTTCTGTTTTTATTCAATTTATGAAGAATCCTTATTCTATGGTAATTATACAATAATATAATATTTTGCATATGTAACTTGTATAGTTTTATTGTAAATGACAAAAAAAATTATAATTTTATTAATTTCAACAAATTTACCATCAATAAAGACGCTGCATATCTACAGTCTTTAGCTGCATCCATTTTTTCACTGACGCCCCAATTTGGAAACTCGGGGCTTAAATAAACTCGTAATAACAAATTTGTGGTGGCGTTCATGTGCGTTCAACTTGTAACGATCTATCTGACATGACTTGAACACCATAATTCCAGACTGTATTTACGAGGTCACTCGCCAAAAACGGTCATTTTGACATAATTGTGTGTTTTGTCCGTCAAAGCGCTATTGGCGCAAGTGCCAGTACTGAATTAACTTCTCTTTTGCATCTTATCATGCTTGATAGCCTGTTCACATAGTCTACTGTAACGCTAGAAAAAAGATGCCAGGAAAAAATGGATGCTACGTAAAAAAAAATGTTTTGTCTCAAAAAGAGATCACGAATCTCTTACGATTCTGGACTAAACAAAATAATGTGTGAGAAAATATTATCGCTGCAGTCTATTTAAAAGAGTTTAATTAATTTGATTGAATTATTAAACATGTTAATATGCATGTATTTAATCCACCAATTCTTAATATTAACCATTTGAAAAAGTGGTTTGAATGAATGACTCAATGACTCATAAATAGGCTACTTCACTCGTTTCATTACTGGATGAATCAGTGTTTTTGAACGAATCTCTTGAATGAATGATTCAATGACTCATAAATAGGCTACTTCACTTGTTTCATTACTGGATGAATCAGTGTTTTTGAACGAATCTCTTGAATGAATGATTCAATGACTCATAAATAGGCTACTTCACTTGTTTCATTACTGGATGAATGAGTGTTTTTGAACGAATCTCTTGAATGAATGATTCAATGACTCATAAATAGGCTACTTCACTTGTTTCATTACTGGATGAATCAGTGTTTATGAACGAATCTCTTGAATGAATGACTCAATGACTCATAAATAGGCTACTTCACTTGTTTCATTACTGGATGAATCAGTGTTTATGAACGAATCTCTTGAATGAATGACTCAATGACTCATAAATAGGCTACTTCACTTGTTTCATTACTGGATGAATCAGTGTTTATGAACGAATCTCTTGAATGAATGATTCAATGACTCATAAATAGGCTACTTCACTTGTTTCATTACTGGATGAAT